ACTGCTTTGTCGCTGTCATTAAAGTTCAGTGGAAAAGAATGGGTATTTTTACATTTTGAGTACATTTGACATACGTATGCGCGTCAAATAAACCCAATAAAAATTAACAATAAATAATATAGAAAAATAGTAAAAATAAAAGGAGAAAAAAAATAGGGAAACTATAAACAACAATAACAACTAAATGGGGGGAGGGGAGAATAAAAAACCTATCTTTATGACAACCAAACTTCGTTCAAAGTTGAACACTGTCGTTCAAAGTTGAACACTGTTCAACTCAACTGTTGAAATCATTCTGTGAAATATATCTGTCAGAAATAAAATTGCTAAAACAATGGCATATCCTCTGTTATTAAATAAAAAGTTTTCACCTCAGATCAAAAATAAAATAATGACTAATATGAACAGTATTCAACAGAACTTAAAAATGAAAAAGCGAAAATGAAATACTGACCCCTAAACGACAAATAACCCTTAATTACAAATAGAGAAAGCCAATAAATAAATTTTGAGCACATATCCTATACCGGTAACCAGTGGATGTATATTACCTATCAACAACCAATAAACCAAGAAAAAAAATTACCTAAATTAATGCAGACGACAACAACAACAAAAAGAAGTCTTCTTTGCTCTTTTGTAACAGTTTACTGATTCATAAAACCATTTTGAATACAACAAAAAGAAAAAAACAAATTGAAGAAGAACAAAGTAACGAAGAAAAAAACTCAACAAACACAACAGAGGTACCGTTTTCGCAAAAGGTTACTCTAAATGCGTATCCGCCTTGGATCAATATAGAAGAATCGTTGTATAACGTATACCTGAATTACACCAGACAGAATCATGATTGCTGTTTGTATCGTGGAAAACGCATCAATGTACTGCATATTTTTCTCCTGTAAATGTGTATCCAACCCGACTTGTGTATGATAAAGCCGTAAACTGTAGAAAATGCTGAACAATCTCTCGAATACACGTTCAACAGTTGTCTGCAAATATCACTGACTTGTTAATCCTTAGTTTATTGAAAAAATGTGCAACAATTTGGTGATATTTTGTGCAGGCAATTTAATCATTTGAAAGGTTGAAATTTATATGCTGTCTGTTGGCAAATGTCTATAAACTCTGAATTCCGGCAGATAACAATAAGAAGCAACATTTCCAATCAGTAAGGTAATTAATTAGATAAAGCTATTCAACTTAATGAAACGCCTATTCAATGATAACACTTTGATGACATTATTTTGAATACTACAATGATGATTAATATCATTAAACAAATAATTAGTCATTACAGTGTAACCACTACTGATGACCTAAGGTTATCGTATACACTTATTTAAAGTGTAAATTCAAAAAACAGTAGCATTACCTAACCGATAATTATATAGACATTAAAAGCATTTGCACTACAGTTAGTTCTTCATAGCGATAATAAATTATACAAAAAAAACCAGCTATAAACCCAATTGGGCAAATGTTTAGGGGAATAATTGTTTAGCAAATTTTCAGTTGCCAACATACTTTAAATTGAATAAACTTCTCATAAGTTCTAAAAGAAGGGAAAAGACTGTACCTGTAATGATTTTTTTATTTCATGGCTTTCGGCGGCTTGGTCAAATGACTGTTTAATAGCATTTGGATTATAAGTGAAAATCTCTAAAAGAGTTTTCAATGTACCTAATCCAATTTTGGCTGTGACACAAACTTCAAAAGTTCCTGAAAAAAAAAAGGGAAGAAAGATCTGAAAAAACAAATAAAATAAGAACAAACAACACTGAACATATATATATATATATATATAT